TTATTAGTACTTGTATCGGTACTTGGTATCGGCAAGTACTTTAATGTAAGTACTTGTACTCGTACTCGGTTTTCAAAAATCTGGTATCGGTGCATCCCTAATGATTAATTAACATTTCTGTTTTATAATCATTTCTGAACCTTCTATTAGTCCAGATAAATGAAAGATTTTCTCAGAAAAAATCCACAATTATATTACTGTGTTCACAGTAAAATAAAACAGTGATTTACATAAAAACACAATGAAAACATTGCAATCAGATTCTCTGTGATTTTTATACCATAATAAATCTTTAAGGCACAATAAAAGAAAAGAAGTGGTTCCATTTTTCCTGTGACAGTCATTATCATGATTTAACAAATGCATAAACATTCTTAGTTAAACAACAAACGAATCACGAACAGAAGAGATTGTTCTGTCCATTATCTAATTAAGAGAACTGAGAGGTTCTCTTCCACGGTTGGAATGACTTGTCATGGCCTAAATAGAGTTCAGTTTGTGACAGAGTTCCTGTCCTCTCATCAGGCCTGTCTGAGGCCTGACGAGAGGCAGTAAATCGTGTTTCTTCACTCGAGGTGACCCCTACACAACCAACACTGGCATCTTATGGTGCACATAGGCTGTAGTCTACGTGGGTTGCAACCTATGAATTAAGACAGCCTTTGTGTTACTTGAAGAAACACATTTTCCTTTCTTTTTCCCCCTTAGGGAGATTAGATAGAATTTAGCTGACAACATCTGATTATCTGTATTTAAAATCATTGCATTCAATTTAACACAGCAGACTGAATGGAGAAACAAAATCTTGCTAAAAATTGTGATTTAATGGACAATTCAACACTTACTGGATCTCTGTTTGCGTACCACATATCCAGCTACCAGCCAGCTTATCGCTGTGACCATGACCAGGGCCGCAAGGTGCAAGAAAGGTGCTGTGGACTGTTGACAAAACACAATACATTTCAAATATACATTTAACCAAAAAATATGTATTGATTTTGCAACTGTCATGAAACATCTTTAAAATTCAAAACCATTTATTTATGTTATCCTGAATCTGTTGCTTTAAAGTTGGTTAATAAGATGATTCACTGATGTGTGTAATGTTGAAAAAACCATATGTTGACATGAGGGGAAAATGGGCTGTTTCAATACAGATGAGAGAGAGAAAAACTTTCTGTGATTACAGAATATGATTAAGTTTTAAGTGAGATTAAATGGCTTATATCTGATCAAACGTTAGATAATAGAGTTTAAAAATGATAAAAACTAAACAGCCTACAGTATTTTTACAGTCTTTATTTTACAGTTGCGATATAAGTTTATCAAATAAAGTGTAATGTTACAACTAATCGGGGGTCCCTTTAATACCCTGTCAAAAACTGTAAAGAATCCAAACTTGATATGGCTTTTCTCAAACTGGACCAGTTTAGTTTCAGAGCACGTTACCATATGTGCTTCCTTTCCCATGCAACCAATTCAAAGCCTAATTGATTCAGGTTTACACCAGAATCCCAGTTTAATCCCTTATCTTAAGTAAGTAAAAATTCTCAAAGCCTATACTTAAGTACAGTACTCAAGTAAATTGGGTGATTTTCTTGTTTTAGGTCAATTAAGATTGCCAACATTTTTTTTCTATTTGCTAAATGCCAGAATAATGAAAGAATTTTTAAGGCAATTTTTTTACTTTCTTGGTCGAAAGTCTAAATACACTTTATTAATATTTGGTACCATTGCCATTAAAATGTGTGACTTGGATCAAACGTTTTGGATCTCCTTCGACAAGCTTCTCACAATAGTTGCAGAAATTTTGTCCCATTCCTTCTGACAGAACTGGTGGACCTGAGCCATGTTTGTTGGCTGCCTTGCTCACACATGACTTTTCAGTTTGCCCATAAATTTTCTATAAGACTGAGATCAGGACTTGGCGATAACCACTCTAAAACATTGGGCCTCATGCAAGAACCGTTCGTACGCACAGATTTGTTCTTTAATTGTGCGTACGAGTGATTTAGGAGAATTTGTGGCATTCACCAATGTTTTCGTATTCTACGATTTTTTTCAGATACGAACAAAATTCACGTGTGGTCCAGACCTGTCGTACATTTTACGAACAGCCAGTCTGCTGTTATCCAGACGGGTTTTCTTCACTAACAACTTTATATTTCGTTAGTTAGAAAAAATGTAGTGTTGAAAAAAAATCGCACGCCATATTTTTTTGTAACAATAGGTTATTCTGTTTGAATTTGAATTAGAATTTTAAATGAATTAATGTAAACTAACGAAATAAATAGTTTAAATTAAAATGAATTGTTGTTAAGGCTGGTTTATAACACTACAAGATTAATATGAAGATCTGAAACTACAAAGCTACTT